CAGTGTTGCAGGCTGGCGTCTTAATCCTGGCACCGGAGGGACTGTCTTTAGAGACATGAGCAAGTCAAGAATGAGCCACTGGGGCAGGCTCGAGCCCAAGGTGACCCATATTCCTTTATTTGTTTATTTGAAAGGCAGAGTGACAGAGAGAAGGAGAAAGACAGAGACAGACCCCCCATCCTCTGGTTCACTCCCCAAATGGCTGTAACAGCTGGAGCTGGGCCAGGTTGGAGCCAGGAGCTTCATCAGGGTCCCCCATGCAGGTGCAGGGGCCCAAGCACTTGGGCCATCTTCTGCTGCTTCCCCAGGCCACAGCAGAGAGCTGGATCAGAAGTGGAGCAGCCGGGACAAGAGTCAAGCCCATATAGGATGCTAGTGTTGCCACAACACCAGCCCCTTAAAAATGTATTTTAAAATCAGTTAAGAAAAGTGGAAAATGTAATAAATTTTTTACACGAGATGAAGGGCAAAACAGACAAGAGAGGTTCTTTCTGAGCAGGTTTTGTGCCTGCCAGGTTAGGGCAGGTGGAGAAAACCCGGGGGTGTCTGCAGGCGCCTGCTCTCACGGTGTGCCCAGGGCCGAGGCAAAGAACGCCACCCGACAGGAGACAAGGGGCCGGCCGCTGCTCCACTTCTGATCCAGCTCCCTGCCAGTGTGCCTGGGAGAGCAGCAGCAGATGGCCCAAGAGCCTGGAGATCTGGGTGGAGTTCTTGGCGCTGCAGCCATTTGGGGAGTGAACCAGCAGATTGACGATCTCTCTGTTTCTCTCCACCTTGAAAAGAAATAAAATAACGGGGCTGGCACTGTGGCATCGCGAGTAAAGCCTCTGCCCGCGATGCTGGCATCCCACATGGGTGCAGCGGCCGAGAGGATTCACTGCACCTCAAGTCCCCTTGGCCCCCAGACCTCAACGATGCCCCCTCCACCTTCTCCTTCACAAGAAACCGCGCAGGCAGTTACTGCTGGCAGCAAAGCCAGCTCTGCTCAGCCCAGCTGCGGGATAGGCTGGGGACAAGGAGGGCTGGTACCCACCCCCGCCCTCTGCCTGGGTGACGCTGGCGGCATGGCCAGGGACAGACGCTGGGAGGGGGCACTGGAGAGCCCCGGGGTCTGAGAGGACACTGAAGCAGGGGAGCAGACCTGGGGCAGATGCTGAACCCTCCCCTAGCTCTGTGCTTTAAACCCGGGCAGCGCACTCTGTTAAAGCCCCCAGGAATCATGGTTTTGTCTCTGAATGGGTGCGCTGAGGTTGGGACACTAACATCACTGGGGATTCTCCATCTTCTCGTTCCTCGCTGGTCTGACAGGTGACACGTGCACGCTGACATGCTGGTCTGCATCCCTTAGTCATGCTCCTGCTGGGTTGGATCCTGGTTCTGAGGCCGGCACGCAGGCGCTCTCCGTGCACCAAACACGGCCACCCTCACTCCCACATATGGCTGCTTCTCACCAGGCCTCCAACACTCAGCATTTGGACCTCCCGAACCCCAGGGTGTTGGCTTCTGCCTCTCACTGGCTCGGGCTCGCTCAGGCCTCCTGGAGACCAGGGAACAGACTCCTGCTCACACACTGTCCTGGGGTCTGCACTATGTTCAGATGCCTGCCCCCAAAATAACCACATCTGAATAAAACTGAAAAGCAGAAGCCCCGGGTGCGGTCGCACACCGTGGTCCAAGCGGCCTGATGGGCGGTGTGTTTACACCCACTTGACACAGGGGACTTGACACAGGCAGTTCGTGGTGGGGTCGGGATGGACTCTGCCTGGCTCCAGGCCCACGGAGCCACCCTGGAGAGCACCCTGCCTCCTCCCAGAGGAGACCAGGACCAGGGCGTGGTGCAAAGTTCTGTCCTGGGGGCCGGCACTGCGGGGCAGCTGGTTAAGCCGCCAGAGATGCCTGCAGCCCACAAGGGCACTGTCTCACGTCCCAGCTGCTCCGCTTCCAACCCAGCTCTCTGCGAACGCACCTGGGAAAGCAGCCGAAGATGGTGCTAGCACTTGGGCCCCTGCACCCACATGGAGACCAGACGGAGTTCCAGGCTCCCGGCTTCACCCAAGCCCAGAACTGGCTGTTGTGGCCATTTGGGGGAGTGGAACCAGCAGGTGGAAAATCTCTTCTCTCTCTCCCTCTCCCTCTTTCTGTCTCTAACTCTGCCTTTTAAATAAAAACAAAAATGAATCTTTAGGGGCTGGCGCCGAGGCTCACTTGGCTAGTCCTCCGCCTGCGGTGCCAGCGTCCCATATAAGTGTCGGATTCCAGTCCCGGTTGCTCCTCTTCCAGGCCAGCTCTCTGCTGTGGCCCGGGAGGGCAGTGGAGGATGGCCCAAGTGCTTGGGCCCTGCACCTGCATGGGAGGCCAGGAAGAGGCACCTGGCTCCTGGCTTCGGATCGGCGCAGCGCTGGCCGTAGCAGCCATTTGGGGAGTGAACCAACAGAAGGAGGATCTTTCTCTCTGTCTCTCTCTCTCTCTCTGACTCTACTTGTCAAAAAAAAAAAAAAATCTTAAAAAAACAAAAAAGGCATGGTTCTGGCAGGTGTTGCCCTGACATCAGTGGGGTCTGCGAGGTTGGGGCCAGAGCGCGGGGGAGCCCCCGCCGCACCAGCACGCAGAGTCTGAAGGCTGCTCATTCCCAGGTCGGGGAGGGGCAGGAAGGAAGTGCTGAATTAATGCAGAAACCACACGGTGGGGGAGGGGCCCTGGGGCAGGGATTTTGCACAGCTCCCACCCCAGAGAGGAGCAGGGCCCATGGGAGGACCTTTTGGGGCAGCCGTGCCTTGGGGAGAAGCGGGCCACTGCTGGGCAGCAGGCTTGGGGCACCTCCCTGAGCCCTGGCGCTGGGCCACACACACCCATTACACAGATTTGATGGCGACCATGAGGAGCTCAGAGCCCTTGAACAAATCACAGCCCCGAAGCTTACCCTCCCGACAACCATCACCTCATCAAAGCAACCAAGCCAGGAGAGCCTGGGGATGGCGCGGGGCTCCTGGAAATCCTGTTCTGTCTCATGTCTCCGCGGCAGAGCAGCGTGTTTAAGGCGCAGCCTCAAAGGCTGTCTCTCTCTCTTAGTTTTCTATCGATCCATACACGTTCGAGAGAGGCTGCACACGGGAGCCACAGAGGGGAGAGGGGCTTGTGTCAGGGTCGATTTATCCTCCAGGGGGTCCTTCACTGCTCACAGTCCCCGTAAGACAGGTTCACCCCCAGCCCTGGCTGCTCTGTGTGTGGGGAGGTGGGCAGTGCAGCTCCAGGTCCCGGGTCCTGGTCTGTTCCGACCTCGGGGACAGCAGCACACAGAGATGGCCATAAGGTGTTGCATCTCAGTTTCGCATTCTCACGATGCAGCTGCCGACACTGAAAATACTGTTAATACCGTGGCTTCCTAAGAAACATGACCTCTGAGGGCTTCAGGCAGTGATGTCCCAAACCCACATCTTCACAGCCTTGGCCTCCAAAGACTGGACACTGCCCGCTACTACCTTCATCCCTGGTTGTATCTAAACACACACATGCACACACATACACACACACACACAGACACATGTGTCGCGGGTCTGGTTCTGTCAAACAGCTATGCCCTGAGTCTTTGGCGTTTGCCTGGGAATTTTTGGGAAATGCTGCCCGGGTGAGTGGACAAAGACGGGTGCATGCCGCCTCCCAGCACAGACTCACCCTGGACCCAGCCTCTGTGTCCCACCCTCCCCAAGACAGGGAGCCCAGTGTCCGACATTCCTCTGTCCCCCACGGCGCATCAGTCATAGCCACCCCAACGGTGGCACCAATGGACGGAAGAGTTCGGTTCCGGCACCCTTTTTAAACATCCCGTGAAGAATGAGTGGACCAAAGCCACCATGCCGGATCCAGGGAACCAAATGCACTGAGGCCTTAAAAAGCGCCGACATGGGGGAACCTGCAGGCACCACGTACAGTGAGATGGGCCCCAAAGCACAGACGCGAGTGATTCGCTTCTGTGAGGTCCCTGGAGGGGAACCAGGCTGCCAGGGGCCGGGGGAGGGGCAGTTCCAGGACGGAATGCCCTGAGCATGTTCCTGATGCCCAGAACTGGAGGCCCCACAAGCAGTTACAATGGTACATTCCACAGCACCCGTATTTAAACACAATGTTTCTCTTTTAACCAGACTCACAAAGGACCACGCCCACACTCAGCCTGCATGCCCGGCTGAACCTGCCCCAATGAAACAGACACAGGTGCAGGTCTTGGGCCCAACCGGCTGCTGCGGCCCATGTGGAGCCATCACCTGGGAGCCTGGTAGGGGCGGGGAGAGGCCGGGTTACAGGAAGGGCTCAGGAGTGGAGAATGCACAGGGCTCCCAGCACCGGTCTGCCCAGAGGGCACTCAGGAACTCTTCTGATCCGTGCCGGGTGGGCTCTGTTCTTCTGGTAGGCTGCGGACCTCACACCTTCAGAACTTCCCAACTACAAATGAGGCTGTGCCCGGGAGGTGCCGGGCTCAGCTCTGCCCAAGACCACCTGGCCAGGCGGCCGCCTGCAGGCTACTGAGCCCAGCTGTGGGAAGGCAACCGTCCTCAGCACCCCAGGGGGCAGTGCACCTGTCGGGGTGCTGGGACAGCAGGGACCACAGCACAGCTCCCGGGGGCGGTGGCTTCAGGCCTGAGGCTGGCGGCGGGGTGGGGGGCATCCTCACCCCTGCGGACCCGCCTTCTCAGCCGCCTCTGCGTCAGGCCCCAAGTGTGGTCTGCGAACTTCCGGGCTCTTCTGGTGTCAGAGAAGGGTCTCTTCCTCCCTGCTGGCAGGTGAACCCCCATTCATCCTCTTTTAGCGACTTCAGAGACAGGGAGGCAGGGCGACAGGTGTCGGAAGGGATGGCGGGGAGCGGAGTGGGGGCTGGGGGAGAGGGGAGGTGGAAGAGGACCGGCCCGGGGTTCCGTCCTGGCGCCCGCGCCCGCGAGCCCCCAGAGCGCCCGCAGCAGCGCGCCCACGTGTCCGCCCCCTCCCCCGCCCAGCCCCGCCGCTCCTACCTGGGGCGCTCATGCTCCGCCGACTGCGCGGGACGTCTCCTCCACGCACGCCGCCGGCTTCCTCTTGGCGAGCAGGGGGTCCCGGGTTCCCCAGCGGCCCGGATGGTCTGAGGGCCGCCGCCCCGCCCAGTGGCTGCAGGACCGGGAGCGGGCTGCGCGCGGCCTGGGCAAGAGTCCGGAGGCTAGAGGAGGCAAA